GAATTTGCATGTCTAGTAAGTTCCCAGATAAAGCTTGTTTTAGGGCCACGCTTTGAGAGCCACTGAGCAAGAACATTGTCAGAGGGACCACACAATGGCAAATGTTCTAGGAGCATTATGATAGGAGAAAATGTGCAAAGAACTGGATATATTTAGCTTGAGAGGAGTTACATGGTAACTTGCTACCTATATTTGAAGGCTTATGTGGCAGAACAAGTGGACTTGTCAGTTGTAATTCGAGAGGCAAAACTGAAGCAAAAACTAATTGGAAATTATAAAGAGGCAAATTTGAGCTCAACACAAGGACATACTTTCTGTTAGAATCATTCAAAAATAGAATTGGTTAAGTTTCAAAAAATCAGGTTCTAGATTTATGGATGGATGGATGTCTTTTTTTTTTGTGAATATATGTATCTTTTTTAAAAATCTGGAATATTAATATATACCAAGTTTAGCAGTGCTTATCTTTTGGTGGGGGTAAGACAGATTTTTTTTTCTTTTGGTTATTTCTATTATCTAATTTGAACACAATGAATATGGATTATTTATGTAATAAAATACTAGGAGCTAAAAAATAAAATGGGTTGTTTTGCAGGTGGCTCTCTATTACCTAAAGTGATCAAGCAGAAACCAGTGAAAAATCTTAGTAAATTACTTAGAGAAATGGTTCTCAAACTTTAGAATACATCAGAATCTCCCGCAGGGCTTGTTAAAATACAGAGTGTTAGGCCCCACTCTCAGAGTTTCTGATTCAGTGGGTCTGGGTTTGAGCCAGAGAATTTGCATTTCTAACAAGTTTTCGGTCATGTTGTTGCTGCTGGTCTGGAGGCCATAATTTGAGTAGCTCTGGTGTGGTAGGCATCCTTCTAAAATGGCTCCCAATGATTCCATCTACTGATATCTATGCCCTCAAATAATCCTCTTATGTGTGGGCTGGACCTAATGAGTTGCTTCTAACAAATACAATGCAACAACAGTGATGGAACATCACTACTGAGATTAGGCTATAAAAGACTGTGAGGGACTTCTGCTTCCAGAAAGATGTACAGAAGTACATTTCCCTATCACTCCTACTAAGTACAACTAAAAACTCTAGGCATCATAAGTAAATCAAACTGAAAAATGGAAAGTAGAAGACCCATGAGCTAAGGAAGTTGAGACCTGAGGAATGACATGGTTGTGAGCTCCCCATGTTTTCTTATTGCCTCATACATTCAAGATTTGGTACTAGAAAAGCCAGCAACTTGGAAAGGCCAACTGACAGAGATTTTTTTTAAGCCCCAACAAAAACCACTATAGATAACTCAAATGGAATTCTAAAATGTTCCAGTGGTAGGACAAAGAAAACAGAGAGAACAAATAAAAGTAACATTAAATGGCATACTTAAGCCCTAACTTTTCAATTTTTGCATTAAATGTTAGTGATCTAAACATACCAATTAAAAGACAAGGATTGGCAGTGTGGATTAAAAATAAAACAAACAAAACTTGGCCCAACAATACTGTCTACAAGAAACACATTTCCAATATAACAGTATAATTAGGTTGGAAGTAAAAGATGGAAAAAAAGACACCATACAAACATTAATCAAAAGAAAGTGGGAATAGCTGTATTAAAATCATATAAAGTAGACTTGAGGGCAAGGAAAATTATCAAGGACAGAGAGGGACATTCCATAGTGATAAAAAGGTCAATCCATCATAAAGACATAGTAATCTTAAATGTGTACACCAAACAAGACAGCCATAAAATATGTGAAGCAAAAACTGATAAAATTGAAAGAGAAAATTCTTAAAATCCACAATTATAGTCAATCCACAACTGATAAGCAACTAGATAGAAAATCAGCAAAGATATAGAAGAACCAACAACACTGTCAACCAGCAAGACCTAGTCAACATTTATACAACACTCTGCCCAGCAAGAGGAAAATGCACATTCTTTGCCAAGAGCTCACTGAAACATACACCAAGACAGACTATATCCTGGACCATAAACAAACCTGTACAAATTTGAAATAAAAAATTGAAACCAGGGACGCCTGGGTGGATCAGTCGGTTAAGCATCTGACTTCGGCTCAGGTCATGATCTCAGGGTCCTGGACGTGAGCCCTGAGTGGGGGTCCCTGCTTGTCCTTCTCCCTCTGCCCCTACCCCTGCCCATGCTCTCTCTCTCTCTCTTTCTCTCTTTCTCAAATAAATGATAAAATCTCTAAAAAAAAATTGAAACCATACAGAGTGTGTTTTCGGACCATAATGGAATCAAACTAAAAATCAGTTAACAGAAAGAAAGCAGGAAAATGTCCAAACACTTTGAAACTAAACAACATACGTTGAAATAATTCATGGGTCAGAGAAGAAGTCTCATGGAAAAATTTTAAAGTACATTGAACTGAATGCAAATAAAAATACAACATATCAAATTTTGTGGGATACAGCTAATATAGTGTCAAAAGATAAATTTATAATGTAAAATGCTTCCATTAAAATGAGGAAAGTTGTCAAATAAATAATCTAAGATCTTATCTCAAGAAACTAAAAAAAGAAGAGCACAATAAATCCAAAGCCAGCAGAAGGAAAGAACTAATAAAGTTAAGACCAGAAATCAGTGAAACTGAAAATAGAAAAACAAAAAAACAACTCACAGTGAACATGTGGAACACAAATTCTAAAATATAATACCATTTATAGGGCTCGGATCTTGGAATGTACAAAATACTGATGAAAGGAAGAAATAAAACTCCCTATTTCAGGATGACATGATAATCTACATAGAAAATACCAAGGAGAGGCGCCTGGATGGCTCAGTCATTAAGTGTCTGCCTTTGGCTCAGGTCATGATCCCAGGGTCCTGGGATCGAGCCCGCATCGGGCTCCCTGCTCAGCGGGAGGCCTGCTTCTCCCTCTCCCACTCCCCCTGCTTGTGTTCCCTCTCTCGCTGTCTCTCTATCTGTCAGATAAATAAATAAAATCTTAAAAAAAAATACCAAGGAATCTACAAAAAATCTCTTAGAACTAATAAATCATTTCAACAAGGTCACAGGATACAATATCAACATACAAAACTCAACTGTATTTCTATATATTTGCAATGAACCCATAGACACCAAAGTTTAAAACGTGACACCATTTACAAATGCTCCTTCAAAAATAAAATACTTAAGTGTAAGTCTAAAAAAATGTACAGGACTTAGATGCTGAAAACTACCAAATGCTGATGCAAGAAATAAAAGATCCAAATAAATAAAGAGACCTAACATGTTTATGCAATTGAAGACTCAACATAATAAAGATGTCAATTCTCCCCAAATTGATATACAGATTTCACGCAACACCTATCAAAATTTCAGCAAAATTTTTTTGTAGGTATAGACAAGATTATTCTAAAATTTATATAGAAAGGCAAGTGAACTAGAGTAGCTAGAATAATTTTGAAAAAGAAGAAGAAAGTTGGAGTTATCAGTCTACCCAATTTCAAGACTCAGTCTATAGCTACAATAATCAAGATTGTGTGACATTGGCAAAGGAACAGACACGTAGGTCAATGGAACGGAATTGAGAATCCAGACATAGACGCCTACAATTACAGACAACTGATTTTTGACAAAGGTGCAAGAGCAATTCGATGGAAGAAGGATAGTCTTTTTAATAAATGGTGCTGGAGCAACTGGATATCCATTGGCAAAACTATGAACTTTGCTTGACCTAACCACATCTTACACCAAAATTAATTCAAACTGGGTCATAGATTTAAGTGGAAAGTCTAAAACTATAAAACTTTTATAAGAAGTCTTAGGAGAAAAGCCTTTGGGGTCTAGGGCTAGATGAAGAGTTCTTATACTTGACACTAAAACCACGATCCATAAAAGGAAAAATTGACAACGTGGACTTCATCAAAATTAAAAACATTGACTCTGTGAAAGACCCTGTTCAGAAGATGAAAGACAAGTTACCACCCGGGAGAAAATATTTGCAAGCCACATATCCAGCACAGAACCAGTATCGAGAATATATAAAGAACTCTCACAACTCCAGAATTCAAAACAAACACAACTGAACATTTCCCTGAGGAGGACAGACTGTGAGCTTATAAGCATATGTTTAACCATCGGAAAACTGCCATTAGCCTGCTCTTCCTGCCAATCCTTAACAAAACTCCCCGATTCTCCTGAGACCATCCCTGGCCCCCTCTTATCTGCCTTCTCCCCCCCCCCTCTCCTATCCCAAGTCTGCCTTCCCTGGTTTGGTCCTCATATAGCCTCTCCATCCCTAAATTAGCACTCCCTTCCACTCCACTCTGTGGGCCTTATCTTGCTGTCAGGAGGATTCAGTTGTGGGACAGTAAACGCCACCAAGTCAGGCTGGCCATGGAGAAAGGAGGCAGGGTGCTGAAGGGAAGGGGGACTGGCAGGTGGTGGGAGGGGGATAGAGGAACAGACAGAGCTGGGTACAGGCAGAAGAATCTTTCTGGTGCTCCCTTGTCACATCAGAGGCCACCAGACTTTTTCCCCAGCCTGCTCAGATCTGCGAGAGGAGCTGAAACATGGACTAACTTGAGTTTTTCTATTCCCAAAACAGCCAAAAGTTTTCGCCATTCAGATCAGTGTTAAATGCGCCACTTAATGGCCAGCTGACTGACTTCGAGTTATTTCACAGCCAAATAGAATCAAAGTGGGGCTGGGATGGCTAGTCAAGGCGGGGGCCTAAGTATCCACCGCAGAGGGGGGAAATTGGTGTGTGTGTGTGTGTGTGTGTGTGATGCATGTAGTGTGCGTGTGTGTTTGCGCACGCGCAATCCATAGGGACAGATGTGCCCAGAACTCAAACAGTGGAGGGTGGAGGCCTTCAGGATCCTTTGAAACTCCCAGGTGGAATCCAGGTCGGACACACATCCTGAATGGACCTTTCCTGCCCAGCCAGGATATCCTGTGTTTGTTGAAAGGACCGCACAGGGAAGCCCTGACCATTGTCCTTCCCAAAATCTGCCAGTCAGCCCTTCCCCAGCCCAAGGCAGCCGCCCCAGACAGAGGAAGAGTAACTCTGGAAACGGTGTTATCAGCATCCTCCATGGACTTCCTCACCTCCTCCCCTGCCCTGTTAGCCCCAAGCTCCTTAGCATCCTCAAACAGAAATTGGGGAAGCTGGGATGGGGTCAGCGCCCTGAAGCCAGCCCCCTCTCTTTTGCCAAGACCCACCTCTGTGCAGCCCTGAGTGGGCAGCTGAAGCCTGCAGCGGGGAATCCTGAGCAGGAGATGGAGCCCCAGCTGGGGCCTAAGGCTGCCGGCCTCGGCCCAGGCCGGCCCGTGCTGCTGCTGTGGGTCTCAGCCCTGAGCTGTTCTCTTTCCTCGCTGGCTTCTCCCTCTCCTTCTCTGGTGCCCCGAAGCAGAACCAGCTACAATTTTGGAAGGACTTTCCTCGGTCTTGATAAATGCAATGCCTGCATCGGGACATCAATTTGCAAGAAGTTCTTTAAAGAAGAAATAAGGTCAGAATCTCCATTAGATAACTCGGAGGGGCAAACTCCTGTTCCCTTCATGTGATGATGTCCAGGAGTTTGTTGAAAATGAGTCAGGATGCAGTTTCTGGGTGGGAGCTGAAGCAAAGTCAAGTCATCATGGCGGCAATGGGTTGACGTTGGGCGGGGGGTGGGGGGGTGGGTAAGGTATGAAGCTGAATTCTAGCCCTAAATGCTAAAGCCAAAGTTTTCTTTTGAAGTGGGAGCTTAAAGTGTTCTTTTCTATGAATGGAGTAGCCCGGGATTATTGAGTTTACCAAGTTCATTTCTCATAAAAAGAGGGAAATAAAATTAATAGGAGGCCTACCATGTGACGGACCTTTTAAAGCTTATTTTTATTTGCTCTGCATCACCATCCCAGAACGTTAATGTTTTGCACTCATTACTCAGAGAGTGACCATAGCAAGATTAAATGACTTGCCCAAGGTCACTCCCTAGTAAGTGGCAGATCTGGGATTTAAACCAGGGCACTTTGCTCCAACGTTTCGGAACCAATTTTCCAATGCAGAGGAAAACCCAAGTTTAGTAAATGGTGATGCATTTGGATCTCACCAAGGATGGTATCACACTCTGGAGTTCAAGCCTGTCAGCACATAGTCAATGAGTCTTGACCACAGCCAAGACCCAGCAAGGGGGGCTAATGACATCACTGTAACTCTTGGTCATTGCCCTTGAGGGGCTCAGGAGGAGGGAGCCATGTTACAAATAACAATAATAAGACGTGGCCTGAAATGTACAGGACCTCCGGGAGCTCCAAGGAGGGGAATACTAATTCCAAATGGGGGCTGGAGAAGGCATTCAGAGCAAGGCCTTTAAAATTTAGGAGAAATTTAGGAGAAGGGCTTAAGGTAGAAGGACAAGCTAAAGCAATGGCCTGGAGTGTGGCTCCAGAGAGGCGAGAAGCACTTAGAGGCTGGAGCATGGGGCCTATGTGGAGGCGTGACAGAAGGAGGCCATTGGAAGAGGCAGATGGGCCAGGGGCCTTGAATGCCATGCCAAGAAATTGGGACCTTCTCCTGTGGGCCAGCGGTTCCCCACCTCTTTGATACTGAAGACCCTTTGTAATAGGCCTTTCTCTGCAGCCCTCCCCCAGGGACCTATCTGAGGCATGTAAAATTTGGTGACCAAAAAACAACATTAATTTACAATAATTTGATTTCCAATCTGTATTAACTGAAGACATTTGATTATTCAACTAAGTTACTAAACAAATATAATGAATAGAAAATATCAATCCAACATGTGGAACTTTTGCGAGATGATAGATACCATATTGATGTAGACTTTCCCCCTTAGGCTTTTTTTTTAAGGCATTTCAAATGGTGAAAAGTTGAAAGACCTTCCCAACCGGGGAAGCTCTATTGCAGGCAACGATGAAGGAGTTTAGTGGGGTAGAGACAAGATGAGACTTGTGTTTTGGAAGGATCTCCTGGAAAGAAATGTGCGTCTGCCTTCGGCTCAGGTCATGATCCCAGGGTCCTGGGATCGGGCCCCGCGTCGGGCTCCCTGCTCAGCGGGAAGCCAGCTTCTCCCTCTGCCCCTCCCCCTGCCACCCTGCTCGTGCTCTCTCTCTCAAATAAATAAATAATTTTTTAAAAAATTTAAAAAATAATAGTTAAAAAAAGAAAGCAGTGTGCAGGATGGACTGGTTGACGCTGGCGGGGGCAGCCAGACCAGTTCTCCTAGTCCAGGAGAAAGGTCAGTGGGAACAAAGCAGGGCAGGAAGGATGCCAGTGGGTGGGTTCAGCTAGAGAAGTCATTTTTGTTGACCAACGCAGTGTGACAGAAAGTAAAGATGGAAATGTTGAAAGCGAACACAAGATTTCCATCCCGTCTAAGAAATGGGATGGAGAGGACCAAGAACATGAGTAAAGTGGGGCTGATTCCTCGGAGAAAGGAGGCGGGGAGAATACAGACAGATTTTCCGACAGGAGGGAGGGCCTTTATGGGATTCAACTGAAGGAGAGTCCCAGGTTCACATCCTCCTCGAGGTAACTAAACAGAGTATATGAATCGTACAGTTGACTCTTTGCCAAGTGGCAATAAGTGAAGTTTTTCTCATCAGGCAGGTATTGGTCAAATTCAGGAAGCATTTCCCCAAATAGGTTTGTGTTCCATTCAAGTTCAGGATATGACCTCAGCTCCCTCAGAATTTATGTTCCATGTGCACCCGAAAGGGATGTGTGCAGAGACAAACGGGAAAGCATCAGGTGGGGTGGGTTGGAGTTTAGGGCTCTCCATGTTGAGAATGCACATTCTTCAAGCGCAAAGCCCCAGAGAGAGGCAGTGAGTGGATCTGGGGATGCGGACTTGTTGATAGTTCTTTACAGCGTAAGCAACTGTTTCCTTATTTTAAAAGTAATATCTGTTTATTTTAGAATTTTCAAGAAATACTGAAGAAAGCACAAAATGAAAATCATGTATAATTCCTCCACGGAGGGATCACCCCTTAGTTAACATATCCTTGCCACCTTTTTTCTAAGTATGGATTTAAATTTTTTTTCAGCAAAAATGTGATCAGACTTTTCTGTAAACTTTTATTTAACAGTATGTCAGGAACACCTTTCCACATTATTAACTGTTCTTCGACGTCAGCCATAGAAACATTTTTCTAGACATGTCTCCTCTGGCAAGGAAAACAAAAGTAAAATTAAACTCTTGGGACTGCACCAAAATAAAAAGTCTTCGCATAGCAAAGGAAACCATCAACAAAACAAACAAACAAACAAAAAAACCCACCAAATGGGACAAGATATTTGCAAATGATACATCCACAATTTGATTTTTAATGGCTTTGTGGTATTCAACCGCATCAGTCAACCATAATTTATTTAACTAATCCACTGCTGTGAGACAACTAGTTTTTTTTCTCTTTTCAATATTATAAACAGTCTTATGTTGAACATCCCTGCTGCTCGATTTTTGTGCACATCAATCAAAAATTCCTATGACAAATTCCCAAAAGTGGAAATTTCTGGGTCACAAAATATAGCGCATTTTTAGGAGACTTTATATATGTATATATCTCCAAATGGAGACTTCTACCTATGGAGCTCACTTCTTGCATGCTCACAAATATTTAATATTACTACTATTTTTAGTTTGTTTGTCTTCTGAGTTGAGCCTTTTTTTCAGGCTTACTGGCCATTTCTTTCTTTCTTTTTTGGGGGGGCTTTGTATAATTCTTTTATTTATTTTTTAATTTATTTCTTTTTTTATTTAAATTCAATTAGCCAACATATAGTACTGACCATTTCTATTCCTTTTTTGTTTGCTAAATTGTCTACAAGTTCATATCCTTTGCCTCTCTTTCTAAGAGTGTTTGTTCGTCTTGTTCATCTCCAAATATTTTCTCACTTTTGCAAATGACTGTGATAATACCTTAGGAAAAAGCTCATCCCGAACTCTCAGCTGTTTGGCTGACATGCTATAACCAGGCAAGCGTTAGCATTCCAGGCCAGGGCCTCAGTAAGAACTGGACAAAAACTTGTTTGTTTGGCAGCAGAGAGTGAGCCTGGGAAGCTGAAGACACATCATTGGTAGATGACTGTCATCTTTCCTTATCTTCTCTTTGGCGAGAACGCTGATGATAAATCTAATGCTTCCCATACCCAACCGTTAACCTTTGAACATTTCAATGTTTTCAGTACCAGTTTTCCCATGCGTTCCGTTTGGACTTTCAAATCCTGAATGAAAAAAAAACTTAAAGGAAGCCAGAAAACAAGAGGAAACCTGATTGACATAGTCTTCCCGCTGAAAACATACCTATCTGTGAAATCCTAAGCAATCACGCCAGCTGGTGAGATCTAGCAGGAACTGATTGATCAGGATTCATGTATGTGCAGATCATAGGTTGGGGAGAAAGGTGGAGATGGAGGACTTAGCAGGAGTATTTCTGATCAGAATTGCTCCTAGAGATTCCTGGGCTCTCACCAAGGCAGGTGCTTTCCCTGCTTTCCCTTCCCTTCCTTACTGTACTCACTTGGCCTTGCATCCCCACCCCCCACTCCCAGAGTCTTAAAGAAAGTTTAAAAACTTCTAACTGAGTAGTGGAGGGCTCGCAGTATTTTTAAAATAAGTAAATCATTAGGCTTGTTTTTGCCTTCTCTTCTCCCTTGCTCTTGTCTGTCTCTTTCATCTCGGAAGATGATAGCAATTATTGCTTTAACTCACTTCCTCGAATCAATTCAGAGGTCTCGGGAGCTGCAGGGCCCCAGAGCTTATGGCAAAAGCATCCGTGTACACGTTCCATCATCCACACATGCGCCCATCTGTCCATTTACCCATTCATTCAGGCGTCCATCTGTGCATCGTTCCACCCAACCATCCCTCTGCAGCCAGCCAGCCAGCCAGCCCTCCATGTATCCCTCCACTCACTTATCATCCATCTATACATCCAAATACCCATCCATCCATCCATCCATCCATCCATCCATCCATCCATCCAACTAAAATGCATTGGGCACTAACTTGGCGCCCAGCCGTCTGCTAGGCACTGAGCGACCAAGTTGAAGGAAGCCCAGTCCTTAGCCCTGCAGGAGTTTACTCTCCATTGGGAAGACAGTGGTGGCACTGGGAAAATGGAAGAAAGTATCTCAGACAAAGGGATGGGCACATGACCAGGTGAGTGGAGGCTCAGGGGCCCAAAACAATGTGGCTTAGCCAGGGATGATCAGTGGTTTGGTGAGAACAAAGCAAGGTTGTAGGGGGAGTAGAAGGAGATGGGCCCAGAAAGAAAGCTGTGAAGTGCTCTAAGTAGTGTGAGCTGTGTCCTAAGAGCTTTTGGGAAGACGCTGGATGTTTTAAGGGTTCTGGGCAAAGCTGAGGGATGGAGAAAAGGAAAGGGAGGCAAGAAATATTTAGGAAGGCATGTCTACAGACTTAGTGTTTGACGGGATGTAAGCATGAGGAGCATGCAAGAGGAAAGTGTTTTATTGTCATTGCAACACTGTTGCTCTGCCCCACGCCACCACACTGTCCTCCATGTTGAGGGGCTCAGTTGGATTGGACCTTGTTGCTTGCTTCCAGCTCTGAATCTATGATACTGCTAGATACAACCCCTAATAATGTTACCTACCAATCTGTTCCCACAAAGTCATACAAAGGATGACAGGGGACCAGGCCAGGGCAAAGCACTTGAGATTGCAAGCTCTGGGGCCTTGAATGCCACTTCCTCCAATTTCTGGTTGTACGACTTTGGACAAATTACTTAACTTCTTTGTGCCTCAGTTTCCTCATCTGCATGGTTAAGAACAGTACTGACTTCGCAGGTTTGCTGCCAGGTTTAACTGAATTACTATTCACGAAGCATTTAGCACAGTGACTGGTGTGTTTACATGTTTCATACATGCGTGTTGCTACAATCAATGTCTAAGAGAACCACCTATCATAAATCCTCAGTCACAGGCCTTTCAGGGGGTTGCCCCAGGAGCAAGAGCAGCTGCAGGGAACAAGCAGACAGGCTTGCCTCGGGGCCCCCTGCCCTTCCTTATCCTCTTAGAGGGGAGGACCATTCCCAATGGTTGTCCTAAAAATGCCGGTGAAATTGATTCACTGCTCGTTTACAATGTTTCATTTTTTTTATTTTTTATTTTTATTTTTTTTCAAGATTTTATTTTATTTTTCATTTTTTATTTTTTTAGATTTTATTTATTTATTTGACAGAGAGAGACACAGCGAGAGAGGGAACACAAGTGAGGGAGAGGGAGAAGCAGGCTCCCCGCTAAGCATGGAGCCCGATGCCGGGCTCGATCCCAGGACCCCGGGATCCTGACCTGAGCCGAAGGCAGACGCTCAACCGACTGAGCCACCCAGGTGCCCCAAGATTTTATTTATTTTTTTGAGGGAGAGAGCATGAGCTGAGGAGAGGCAGAGGGAGAGGGAGAAGCAGGTTCCCCACTGAGCAGGGAGCCCGATGCGGGACTTGATCCCAGGACCCCGGGATCATGACCTGAGACAAAGGCAGACGTTTAACTGACTGAACCACCCAGGCGCCCCACAATGTTTCACCTTTTTAAATAGATTTGTGTAAATGTTCTTGAACAGAATTCTTTGGGCCTACTTCCACTGCAGTTTGGACGGCACTACTACATTATGGAAGGTGCTAAGTAACAGGTTCTGCTGGAGCACCTTCTTTGAGAAGCTTGCAGTCTCTTAGGGTGAAGCTGCGTCATGCAAGTGAGAAAACAAAGCAGTGTAGAGTTTGGAGCCAATCAAAATGCTAATTCCCCCAAAAGTCATGGTCATGAGGCTATCCAATAATGCCCAATAATAAGTTCCAGATTCTGACTTGAATTAAATATAGAACACATCTCAGAAGCTTAATTTTATTAATCATGAAAGTAAATGTTACGTTCCTAATTTTTCCTACATAAATCAGAAGAAGATTTCACATTCTCCCCTAATGGGAATGTTGGCATGTGGCCAGAAGAATGACCAGAGAAAAGGTCAAGGTGGGGCCTAGGAAACTAGCAAAGGGGTCCTAGGGAAGGATTAAGGACCAACCAGGCTTTTGTGTGGCATGACACACGTCTTGGATCCCAGATGGCTTTGAACTTGGTGACCATTTTCCAGCCACTGTTCCCTGTGACTTGCTTGGTATGGATGGCTTAAATCTTTGGACTGAAGGCAAAATTGATGGAGCCACTAAGGGTGGGATATGCAGAGGTAGTGCTCCTCTGAGTGCAGGCCCAGAAGCCTCTTCACCAACTATGGTTCCAAGACCCAGCCATTAGTCAGAGGGTGGGCTGTTTATAGAACCAGTGTTGGGAAGGGGAAAGATCATGGGCTCTGCTGAAACAGATGGCCCTGGGTCTGCACGTCTGCTTGGCAATGTACTGTCTGAACTTGGGTGAGGTCCTTAAGCTCTATAAGCCTCAGTTTCCCCATCTGTAAAGTGGGGATGGGGTATCAGGAGAATCTAAGGCACCAGCATGTGTAAAGCTGCCGTTCAAAAAGCCATGGCTAGTCCTTCTGCGTCAGCTGCCTGAAGAGGATAAAGCATGTGTCTGGCATGTATCTAGCTCACCTTTTCTGACATCACATATTTATATCCCTGAGTTTGAGGAAACAAAAGTAGTGTTCTCGCAGGAAGAGTGGAGTGCCCCAGTCAAAGGAGAAGAAATGGATCAGACAGGATGTTGTCGCCTGTCTCCCTGTCCCCAGGTTCTGCTGGCTCTGACAATATTGCTAGTCCCTCCTTGGCCCCCGCTTCATCCTTCCAGCTCCAAGCAGATCCTAAAAGGGCTCTTCTGGGGGCACCTGGGTGGCTCAGTCGGTGAAGCGTCTGCCTTCGGCTCAGGTCATGATCCCAGGGTCCTGGGATGGAGCCCTGCATCGGGCTCCCTGCTCAGCAGGGAGTTTGTTTCTCCCTCTCCCACTGCCTGCAGCTCCCCCTGCTTGTGCTCTCTCTCTTTCTCTCTCTCTAATAAATAAATTTTTTAATTTTTAGAAAAATATATTAAAAAATAAAATAAATAAAAGGGCTCTTCTTCCAGGTTTGACAGCTGGCTGGCCTCCCCCCTTGGACTGCCTCCCGACTACTTGCCTTCTTACCCTGCAAATTACTCAGATGATTCCAAAACCTGGCGCCCCGTGGAGGTCTCCAGGCTGGTCAGCAAACAGCAAAGTGACATCTCAGACAGGAGAATCTGCGCCTCTGCAGCAGCCCCAAAGACCTGCAGCATCGAGCGCATCCTGCGGAAAACCAGGAGGTTCCAGAAATGGCTGCAGGCCAAGCGCCTCACACCGGACCTGGTGCAGGTGAGTGTGCTGGTCGTGAGGCAGGAGACAAGGGGGCGAGGGGGAGGGAGGCATCTACTCTCATCTCACACCTCCATGTGGGGAAAAGGAGTCATGGTCTGAAGTGGGACCAAACCCATGTCACAAAGCAGAGTGGCTTGTGACAAGACGGTAACTAGACAGGTTTAGTTATAGTGACCCTTCCCATTGTCATCCTCCACTCTCGCTGATGTGACCCTCCGCAACTATTTGGGAAACAGTTTCTGGCTGCTACCTCTGGTCTGAAGAACTGATGGGATGACCCTTCCAACCCTCCCCCCGGCCAGGGTTTAGCTCACCTACAAGCTTCTCGGGGGACCTTTGCCAACTTCCAGACTGTGCCTTTTCTTGAAAGCTCTCCTAGACACCCTGTTTCACCATCCAGAGAGCCCACTTTGGACATCAGCTTCCTCGTCCATTTCCCACCAGAAAGAAGAACCAAACCTGAGTCATGACAGAAGTAGGCTCTGATAATACAGCTCCCTCTTCCCATCTGAGAGCTCCCACTCACTCCCCCCAGTAGGCTACCTCCGGGACTTCAGCACATTGCTGGCGCCCTCATACCCTGCCTTGGTCCCCCCTCCTGCACTATCATCCCCGGGATCCTGCTTCCTCACCCAAACCAGCATAACCTTGTACCTCCCCACACACCCTGCTGGGCCCCTGATGGCAGAAGATGCCCCCTCAGAGGACTGAGGAGGGTCTCACCTTCAGCCAAGATGGGAAAGAAGAGGCTCATCCCAACCTCCCTGCCATGACAAGGCTGGAGGGCTCGAACTGGCCCCCTTGGGGGGATGCCGAGGCCACCTCTTGCACTCCCCAGGCCACAAGCCCCCTTCACGTGGACACCTGAGGCTGCTCGAGGGACTTCTGAAGCACTCAGACCTTCCCTTGGCCTCTTCAAGAGGAGGGGCACCAAGCAAAGAAGAACCACTGGTCCCTGGATATCTCATCTGTGTCACAAGACCATGTGGCTTTGCTCTTGGGTTGTGTGGACACTGCTTTACAATCAGGAGCAATCAAGCTGTGGGAAACATGGCTGCCATCTGGGAGCCCTTTGTACTCTACACTTTATGAAGCTCACTGCCGTGGGGTGGGGAGAGAAGGAGCCAGAGGAAGTCAAGCCATTCCCAGGCCAGGGAGGTGGCGGGATCCAACATCCGGGTCTTGGAGTTTGTGCAGGAGACAGCAAGCAGAGGCTCAGGTGAGAAGAACCCCGTGCGGGGCTGCTCAACGCTGAGCAGAACCCGACAACAGAGGACAGATAACAAAGCCCCCACCGTGGTCCACACCATCAGTATAATCGCCCTGCGCCTCTCTTTCTGCACTCGCAGACAGACCCTCCACGCCCTGGCCTGGGTACCTGCCACTTGCCAATTGCAGGCTGGCCACAGCAAGGACTGAGCCACAGGAAGGACCAATGTGAGACCTTTCCCGCTTTGCCTCAACTATGTGCTCAGGAACAAGTGGAAGTCCCCCAGGAAAAGCAAAACAAGATACACAAGGAATTGTTTCAGAACCCCCTTGAAAATCCCGTCACCTCTTCCGGCCCCCATCATTGACGGGTTCCATGCCGAAGGACACAGTTCTCCTAAGGCACTGGTTCCAGACTTACCTCCACTTGGGACCTGCGCAAAACAACAAAGGACAGCCAGGTGCTCAGGATACACTTGAGATCCCACGGAAAGTGGCCAGGCCGACGAACTAAGGAAAGCTCCCTCTTTCCCTCAGCTTCTAGAGATTTCCATAATAACAATCCAGTGGGGATTATCCCATGCCCCCTCCCCGACCCCGGCAAGTCCAAAGCACCCCGCCCAGGACATCTAGTGTCACCTACCATGATGAGTGTAGACACTGTGGTGTAGACAAAAGATCTCTGGAGTCTGGAAACTGTCTGAGCCCTGGCTTTGCCACTCAAACCTGGGGCCAAACGAGAAGGAGCGGAGACCCAGGAAGAGCAAAGAGCTGCCGCTTCCCGTGCCTCTGGTCAACAAGCTTCAGCACTGTGCTTTATCTTGGGGACACGAAAATGAATCTGACACAAGCCCCACCTCCAGGAGCAGGTGGCCCCCAGCGAGGACAGGTAAGAACACAAACCACCACAAAGCAATATAGTGGATGATATGAGGACACTCAGTAAGGGAACAGAGGACAAACTATTGACTTGGGTCCTTCACTCACCAACCAGGTGACGTGGCATTTAAGCACAGGACTTCCCCACTCTGCCCCCACATCCCTCTTCCCAAAGTGGGTTGAGGGGAGGCCTGGTGGATGATCTCAAAGAGCCTCCCAGCTCTGACATCCTTTGACTTGAGATGACTCTGCTTCGCTTATTATTTAACAATCCTGATGAATGACTACTATCAGCAGGTACTCTGCTGCATGCCTTGATTTCCTATTTCTTTTTTTTATTATTATTTTATTTGTTCATTTGAGAGAGAGAGAGAGAGCATGAACAGCGGGGAGAGGCAGAAGCAGACTCGCCGCTGAAAGGGGAGCCCGACGATGCAGGACTCGATCTCAGGATCCAGAGATCATGACCTGAGCCAAAAGCAGATGCTTAACTGACTGAGCCCCCCAGGCGTCCCTTGATTTCTTCCTTCCCAAAGGGCAGCAAATAGTGCCTTCTCTATCCGATTCATTCATCCTAATGAGCTTTACATATGCTTTAGAAAAAGTCCATCGCCATAGAAATACATGGCAACATTATTGTACTGAGAGGATCCCTTTCTTCAGTGTGTTGTGCTAAAATTTGCTCGACCAAATTTGTCCTCTCACCTTAACATGTGGCCAAACAAACTTTCCTTCTTTCTGACAAAAACACATCCATTAACAACACCCCGTTAAGACACATCCAAAGCCACACCCATTTTCACTTCTCTGCTAACTCATCTTTTCATCCCCACCCACCAGAGATTTTTCCTTTCCTTTTTTTTAAATTTAAATTCAATTAACCAATGTATATTACATGATTATTTTCCTTTCCTTATTAAAAAAAAAAAAAAAAAAACAGAAAAATATCAGCAGCCATTTTATAAATGCTGACCAAACCCCATTTTTCCTCCATTCACCAAAGCTCAAGGTTATTGGCACCCCATTGGGCCCCACCTCCTCCCTCTCCTGTCCTCCTTTCCAGAGACCCTTTCGCCTTAGGATCCCACAGAATGCCCTAGGTGTTCTGCACCCTTTTCCTCCCAAGTCCCATCCAGGCAGCACCCAAACTACCACACTTTTCTTCTTAGCAAAACTCACCTCCCAGATGGTTTAAAATGGATCCATCATCACCAAAGGTGGGGCTGAAGGAAACTCACTCATCTGCCCAAGACAGTCGAAAATGAGTCTTCAGATAAAAACTCGTATGTGAATGCTCACAGCAGGACTAATCACAAGAGCCAAAAGGCGGAAGCAACCCACATATCCATCAACTGAGGAATGAATAAACGAAACATGTTATAGCCACACGATGGAATATTATTTGACCATAAAAAAGAATCAAGGACTGATACCTGCTACAACACGGATGAACCTTCAAAACATTACACTAAGAGAAAGAAGCCAGATGCAAAAGGACAAATATTGGAGGATTCCATGTATAGGAAATGTCCAGAATGGGCAGATCCATAGAGACAGAAAGCAGATTAGTGGTTGCCAGGAGCTGAGGGGGAGAATTAGGAGTGAATGTTTCATGGGCACAGGGTGTCTTTTGAGGGTGATGGGAAAATTCTGGAGTTAGAGTGATGATATTTGTACAACCTTGTGTTATACTAAAAGCCATTGAATTATACACCTTAAAATGGAGAAAACGGTACACTTTATGTTATGCGAATTTCACCTCAACTAAAAACAAAAAGGAAGAATAAGCCCCATAGAAACTTCACCAATCCTGTGACTTCATTCCCTTGGAGTCCCAGGAGGTGATGGGCAGCTAATCCAATAATTTAATTCATGCCAGGATGTTAACAGCTAATAGCATTTCACTGTTAGCTCTCCAAGAAACCATTTGTGTGTAAAACCGATATGGTAATACTCGTACTTGTCCATCCCACGACTATCTCACACCTTCCTAAAACATCCCTGCATCCTTCCCCCTGCCCACAAAATTCAGATGTGCCCCCAGAATCCTTCTCGATGATCTGAGCAACCAGCCTGTTTCAGAGTGACCATTCATCCCAGATTTGGCCGAACAGCTCTGCCGGCCCCAGGAATTCTGTCGACCATGACTTGAGTGGGTGTTCCCTGATTTTCTCAAAAGCCACTTTCCAACCGGGATCTAGGCCAGGGCCCTCCAGAGTGTGTATCTGTGTGTGTGTATGCCGGTGCGTGTTTGGGAAAGGAAAAGGGGCCGCAGGGAGCCCACAGGTTTGCTCAGAGAACTGACAAGGAAGAGAAGAGAAACAGTCAAAGAAATAAAAGAAAATTGAAGGCAGGGGGGATGTGACAGGTGCAGGGCCCTCCGAACCTCGATTGTGAGTTCTGCTTATGAATAAATAAAGTCAACTTGGATGAAAAGCCCCAGGGGTCACCATTAGAGGCTGAGCCAGGGAGTCCGTGGCTCCCCACTCCTGCAGGGCCAAGCACGGCTTTGTATTAAGGACACTCTCTTGAGCCACAGGCGGTATACTGCAGCGAGGCATTGCCAAAGAGGTAGCGAGGGACCAGAAAAATCAGCCAGAGGGTGAAACAACGCAGAGTGAGTGTGTGTGTGTGTGTGTGTGTGTGTGTGTGACTTATGCTAATAAAACCGTGACTTTTCTCCTTCTAAAAACTGCATTGTTCTGATGGGAATATCCCACAGCCTAAATTACTAGCCCACAGATAGAACCACAGCCAAGAACACCACCCAGTTTATCATGATGTGCCTGTTCGAAAAACCACAAAGAAGGCTTCCTCTGCTATTATGCCAAGTGCATAGAGGCACCCGCCCTCAGCAGTGCGCGGCTAATCGGAGGAAAACACATATCCCCCGTTGCGTCCCCCTCCCA